TCTAATTAAATAGAACTGGAGTTAGTGGCTTAGTGGTTGTTCTATAATCAGGCCCTGCTACAAGTGGTTAAGAAGACTGACAGTGGGAACCAAAAGAGCCTGCAGGGACAGGAGTGTGGCTGTGAACATGGCTGGGAAGAGTCTCTGCCAGGACTTTTGAATCCAAAGCTGAGAATGTGGCTTCCATGGAGTTATGAGAGAGAGGGAGGGATTTTGAGCTGTGGCCCACTGAGATGAAAAATTGGGTTGTATCATCTTGTCTTGGAGTTGCAGTGATAGTGTATGGCGAAGGGTAATAAAAGGAGCAAAGGATCTGGACCCAACCTGGTTTTGAATCTGGGATTTCTCACTTTTTAGCTAGGTAATTAGAAAAGTGACTGAGAAGCTCTCTGCATCTCAGATAATTCATCTGTGCAAAACGATTTGCATAGCTGTAGTCAAAGTTAGCTTGTGTGTGGAGCCCCTAGCACAGAGGAGACATTTAATAAATGATCACTCCTGCTGTCTTTATTATCATTATTATTATTATTATTATTTTTCTTGAGACAGAGTCTCACTCTGTTGCTCAGGGTGGAGTGCAGTGGCGCGATCTTGGCTCACTGCAACCTCCCCCTCCCGGGTTTGAGTGATTCTCCTGCCTCAGCCTCTCAAGTAGCTGGGACTACAGGCATGTGCCACCATGCTTGGCTAATTTTTCTATTTTTTTAGTAGAGATGGGGTTTCACCATGTTGGCCAGGCTGGTCTTGAACTCCTGACTTCAGGTGATTCACCCACCTCAGCCTCCCAAAGTGCTGGGATTACAGGTCTTTATTATTTTTATGATCATCATTGTCCATGTTACGTTTATGTAGTTGTTATGGATCACAAAACACTTTCAGATGTTCTCTCTGATTGCAGTTCAGCTTACTCCCGTACACTTGAGTCATGACACGGGTGTATCTGCGAGCCTCATTAGACCGGGAGCTCCTTAAATGGAGGGGTCCCCACTCACGGATGTCTAGTGCAGGCATAAACTAGAGGATCCATGTGAGGAAGCACTTCCCCTACCAGAGCTCTTCAGAAAGAGAGCAGGTGGCTTCAAGAAGATGTCAGCTTCCCACCCTTGAGGATATAGCAGGGGCCACCTGGCAGGGACACTGTGGGGAAGTGGCTGCACTGGTTGGAAGGCTGGCTTCAAAGAAATGGTTTCTCAATCCCACTTTATAATCTATTAGTGTTTTAATTGGATGAAGCAGTTCTGATGTCCTGTCAAGTTCATTCAAAGGAGTGTTTGTACTCATCTAAGTTTGTGGACCCTGGGCAAAGTGAGCCAGACATGGCTGTCCCGGGGATCCTTCCTCTCTCTGCTCTAACTGCTCTTTAAACACACAGACTCAGCCCTGGCAGATGAAAGTTTTAAATTTAAAAACATTTTAAAAGAATGCTTTTATATGAAAGACAGTATCTTTTAAAATATCAAATTTGCCTTAAACATTTTGGCAGCATATGCCATGTAACTTTTGGATTTATGTTTTCTCTTTCATAGAATAAAAAGTTCAGTGCAACCACCTCGAGAGTTCTGCAAGTTCACATTATGTAAACATATATAATAAAATATTTACTTAGGGTTTCCATAAAAAAGATCCAAAGCAGAGAATAAGAGGGCTTCTCTTTGCTGGTTTCAGAGGCTCTGCTGGGAATTCTGAGTGAAATTTAAGCCTCTTGAATATGTTTTGATTGGCCTTCTTCGTATTTTATCTCCTGTAATGAACTCTTTGTCAGTTTGTCAATTTTGACTAAGGACAGAAAGTTCATGTGTAGTAACACAGAGACTGAATTTAAAATTATGGTTTATATCATGATGTAATAATCCTCTCTCTTGTCCTTTAGTCAATATTTACCTGGTAGGCCGATATATTATAATGCTGACTTCAAAAGAAGACTCTTTATTTTACCTTCTCTAAGTGTTGGTTTTAGATACTTGAAATATCAAAACTGGAAGTTGAGCCGTCTGAGACTCTTGGCTGAATTCATGTAAAGTTCAGTTCCTCGATCGCAGGGCAGGTTTCACTGCTCCCAGTGACCCAGCGACACAGCTGCGTGCCTGTCAGAATGAGGCAGCTAAGCTTGGAGTCATGCTGGTTCCTCTCAGCTTTCCAGACAGCCCTCTCCTCTGTGGGAAACAGATCTGTTATGTTACCCCATAGCAGCCAGGATCTCTTAAGTGTACTTAAGTATTCCTTTATGTATTACAGCTACAGGATTGGGCGGAAAAACCTGAAGAATGCCCTGTAGGAAGGTGGTCTCTGAGTGTCACACCAGATGAAGAATAAGGAATCTTAAATTCTTTTCTTTGCTTGAACCCCTTTTTTCAAGCACCCCATGTGTAAGCATTTTTCCATTTTAAAAACTGAGGGAAGAATTATCCCCCGGTGAAGGAGTAGGAGGATGATAAGTAGCTACACAGTTTGCAGATAAAATGTGTGATACCTTAGTACTGATCGTTCAGGTCACCAAAGAAGCAAATGGTACTGTGTTAATAAGTTCTTCTGAGCCAACCTGGGTGTGAGTCAGGACTCTGTCAGTGAGTCATAATGGAAAGGGAATTGATTCACTCATTAACTGCCAAGTCCGCAGGTAGACTAGTTTCAGGCTCAGCTGGATCCTGAAGTTCAAATGAGGTCATGATTCTTCTTTTCTTTCTTAGACTATTATTTTCTATATTGGCATGATTATGTAGCATAGATGTTTCCTGGCAGCTCCAGGTTTATGTGGTCCTTAGTGCCTGGGATCCCAGGAGAGAGACCCTCTTGCCTGGAGTTCATATCATTTATCAAGTGTATTGTTCAACTTAAGCAAATTCAACACTATGCTTGTATCTTCCATGTGTTTATCTCTGCCCATTGTGTATCTTTAAACCGTATATTTATTTTATTTTATTATTTTATTTTTTCAAGACAGAGCCTTGCTCTGTTGCCCAGGTTGGAGTGCAGTGGCACGATCTCAGCTCATTGCAACCTCAGCCTCTGAAGTTCAAGCAATTCTGCCTCAGCCCCCTGAGTAGCTGGGACTACAGGTGTGTGCCACCACACCTGGCTAATTTTTGTATTTTTAGTAGAGGCAGGGTTTTGCCATGTTGGCCAGGCTGGTCTCAAATTTCCTGGCCTTAAGTGATCCGCCAGCCTTGACCTCCCAAAGTGCTGGGATTACAGGCATGAGCCACCGTGCCCAGCCTATATACTTATTTTACATGTATACTCTTTTTTGTAATCTGTTCATTTTGTACATTTTCATACACACATACATGTATATGTAAGTATATACATATGTATATACTCTTGTATGTATATGTATATTTTTATTTTCACATATACATTTGATAGATGATTTACAGTATGTTCAAGAATAAATTTTTTTTTTTTTTTTTTTGAGGCGAAGTCTCGCTCTGCCGCCCAGGTTGGAGTGCAATGGCCGGATCTCAGCTCACTGCAAGCTCCGCCTCCTGGGTTCACGCCATTCTCCGGCCTCAGCCTCCCGAGTAGCTGGGACTACAGGCGCCCGCCACCTCGCCCGGCTAGTTTTTTGTGTTTTTAGTAGAGACGGGGTTTCACCGTGTTAGCCAGGATGGTCTCGATCTCCTGACCTCGTGATCCGCCCGTCTCGGCCTCCCAAAGTGCTGGGATTACAGGCTTGAGCCACCGCGCCCGGCCAAGAATAAATCTTGAGTTTATAACCTAACGACTCTCCCTCATTTAAGGTACAGTTCTAACAGCCTTGGTCATCTGACCAACTCTCTGGTAAACCTGGTAGGGAGGGCAGGGCCTGTTAAAAGACAGCTCCACCAGGAAGGGAAGGAGCAGTTCTAAAAGGAAAAAGAAAGTGGGTCCTTTACCAGACGGAAAAGATAAACCGACTATTGATTCATTCATTCAGCAAGTACTTCCTGAGAACCTATTATGTGCCAGGCACTCTTCCAGGCCCTGGGCGTACAACAGTAAACATTACACAAAAGGCCTTACTTACCGGGAGCTTACGTAGTAGGGAGAGAGATAACAAACACACAAGCCGATAGAGATATGCTGTGGTATCTGGTAGTGCTGAGAGCTCTGAAGAAAGACCGCGGTAAGCAGCAACAGGTGTGGAGTAGTTGCTTTACAGTGCAGGTGGAGGAAATGGGGTTGGGGGGTGGTGGGGAGTTGGAAGAGGCAGACAGGTGGAGGAAACAGGGGGAGGGGGGTAGAGGAATCTCTTCTTGTTTTGGGATTCTCTTTCAGTTGACCCAAATAAAGTAAGGAAGATTTTGATAGGCAGATCCTATTAAGACTATCCCAAGCATAGGGAAAAGTATGAGTCAAGCCAACGTCTAAATGTCTTGAGGGAAGATCTGTTCAGGGAGTGGAAAGAAGTTTCCCACGACAGCTGCATACAGAGCATATGAAGGATGGGGCTGAGGTTGCTTGGGGTGTGACCCTGCAAGGACATAAATAACAGGCTAAGAGTACCTTTCCCAGACCCACATTTAGAAAGATCACAGCAAAGTGTGGAGAGCCAGGTGAGGGGTCACAGAGGCAAGATAGGGCAGCCAGGTGTGCACTGAATAGGGCAATGGCCAGAGGGAATGGGAAGGAAGGGCAGAGCTTTCAGAGGTTGCATCTGCAAGATTTGGGGATTAATTCACTTCTAGTGACCTAAAAGGATTTGTTCATCACCCAGAATGAGCCATATCTTCTTATGTTTACTCAAAGATAAGAAGCCTTTAGAAATGGGAAACATCTTGGGAAAGTGGTTAATCTTGTTTATTCACAAGACAATTTCATCATCTTTTGCTATACAATGAGGAAGGCAACAGTAGTGCGGGTCACAGGGGGGAGGTGGCCAAGGAAGGAAGAAAGCAAGATGTGGCACCTACATTGCAGGTCCTGTGGCCTCTGGGAGTGACATACATTCAAGGAAAGGACTTCTGGGAGGGAATGCTGTGGCCTTCCATGCCAGCCTGATAGTCCTTCTCGTGCATTTACAGGCAACTTCGAAGTGGGAGTTCACATTGCCGACGTGAGTTACTTTGTTCCAGAGGGATCCGACCTGGATAAAGTGGCTGCTGAGAGGGCCACAAGTGTCTACTTGGTTCAAAAGGTAAAAATCCATCTCCAGTTTCTTTTTTCTTGCTTTGTTTATTTGTTTGTTTCCCTGGAAAAGTGTGTGCTCGCTGTTATGACATGTTCTCCGGAAAGAGAAGCCAAAGAAAGACACAGGTGTTCATCCGAGGCCTCACCCCAGAGTGGCCCTGCTATTTAAGTAACTGACAGATACTCAGCTTCAGAAAGAAAGGAGGCAAAATACCTGCTTTCAAACAATTCTTCTAAAGCAGGGCTTGGCAAACTCAGCCGACACCAGCCACTAGTTTTTGTAAGGTTTTATTGGAACTCAGGCACATGCGTTTGTTCATGTATTGTGGCTGCTTTCATACTACTTCAGCAGAGTGGCATGACGATTTCCTGTTACTATAGGCCCTTTAAGGAAATGTTTTCAACCCCTGTTCTAAAAGGTGGGAGCCAATCTGGTCCTGACCCACCCATTACAAGATAGCCATGGGAGTCTCTGAGATGGAAAAGCGAAGGGAGATGAGGAGGAGTCTGAGCTTTTCCCTCTCATCCTGACTACACCACTCTTGGTTAGTTGCTAAGTGTCTACAGAACTCCCTAGACTCATCTGTGAAATGCAGGGATTGGACAGATGGATCTCAAAACATCCCTTCCATTCTATGTACCTGTACCTGGCACATTCAATGGTAACCATGAGAATCCATTCCTTTAACAAGTATATATTGAGCACCAATTATCTGGTGGACACTGCAGTAGGCCTCAGAGACAGGGGTTAATAAGAGACCAAGCATGAGTAAGTTCTGCCTTCCACACTGTGGTTTGTGAATTCTGCCAGGTTTCTTTCTCTTCTTTCCCTCCTCTGATCCTCTGTTCATTTGATCATCTTCCTTCTTTGGCCATATCTGGACTTCCACTTCCTTTCTAGCTTTTTAAAATTTGGCAGTCCAATTTGGGATTCTACCTATACTAGCTTGAGGCTTCCTGCCTCGCAAACCCATGCACTAGGACATGATTCTGGTATTTGCTCATTGACTGCCCTAAGGTCAGAGGAATATCCCCACCATCCACCCTAGAATGCACCACCATAGGTGCATTCTGGAATTTCTGGGCTTTACTTCTAGCAAAGTGCCTACTTAATGTCCACAAAGGTATTGGCACTTCTGGAGCAAAAGCTATCCAGGAACACCCAAAAGTTTCTAAGATTTCTGGTATTTACCAAGCGTTACTGAGAGTTCCTCTCATGTTTTCAACTTGTCCACCCTGAAAACTAACCTCTCAAAAGGGAAGAGACTAGTCTAGGCTTTGAATGCAGCCATATCTTCTAGGGGCTGAAGATCCTGTTGCCTGTGGCCCAAGCTTAGTTCCCCCAATGTAGCTGAGCTTATCTTTTGACAGTGATGTCTTCAACTCCATGGTAGAAGTCACCCTGTCTGAGACCCTTTGTTTCTGCTACAAAGGGAGCTAGCCTAGATGGGCTGTCTTGTCCCAAAGGAAAGCCAGAGCTGTCATCTGCCATAGCCGCCTTCAATAAGTGGAGGTCCTACCTAGGAAAACCTGGTACCTCCTCTCCCCTGCCCCAGGACAGTACTCTCTGTATCACTGAAACCTAGAATGTTTGAGCAAAACCCTAGCTCCACCTGCTCCAGGAGAATTGGACAGCCAGTTTCTTCAGAAGTACAGCTTTGCCTGCCATTCACATTAGGTGATCAGAACCACCATGTACATGTTTTCTGCCATCCCATAAATGAGAATAGTGAATGGAGAGGAAGACAGAGTTGATCAGAGCCAGGAATTTCTGAGTCAGAAGCTGTGTGATCATCAAAACCCCGTTCCAGGAAACCGTGTCATGGGCAATAGGTAATCTCTGTGCACAGTGATGCCTGAAAGACCCAGCACCTTCAGTGACCAATTAGTGAGGATAGCTAGCTGTGTCCTCATCTGAGCAGGGGGAATTCCGTACCAGACTTTGCTTGTGTCAAACATACTGTGTCCCTACCTGACCTCTGTGGCTGGCCTAAGCCTCAATGCAATGTTTAAGAACTTCTCTTTGACCCCCGGCCCCTCATAATGTCTGTGACAACTGTGTCCAAGCTCTGGGCAGGTATAGGCAGCTTAAGAGAATGCAGCACAAACTTCTGACCCGCAAGTATCTCTTGAGCACACAGGGCTTCCTCCCTGACCCCCAAGCCCCAGCTGCTGCGCTCTGCTTTTATAACCAGGAATTACTTTTCAAAATCAGAAAATGAAAAAATCAAATTGGGTTAAGTAATTAAGCGTGTTTCCTTTTCTGTTTCCTTTGGTTTTGTGTTTGTCACAGTTCTAGAATTTCTCTGTGGGACTACAGAGTTGGGGCTCTGTTGCTGAGTTGTGAAAGCGGGGAACTGGGTGGAGGAAGGGCCCGCATGCGTCTGCTGCCCAGCACTGCCTCCAGCTTGGCAGGCACAAGTGGCGCCGGCCCGCAACCTTGGACAGCAGCAGCTGCGCGCTCTGATTCCTTTGAACCGCTGCTCTGACCTTTCTTCCTACTCGGTTTTGTTTCTTAAAGGACTGTGTCCAGGAACTTTTCTGCTGTTTTCACTTTACTTTGCCTATAAAGGTCTTCTGAAAAGCTGGATGAGCTGCGTTTCCGCTCTCCAGATTCTCTGCTTTCTCACTTGGCACAATCATTTCTCCCAGCTTCATCACACAGGGAAGAGGGGCTGGGGTTCCAGTTGGTTTCCCATCTATAGGCAATGTGGCACTGATTTCATTCAGATCTGTAAGTGACTGATGCCAGAATTGCAATCTTAGCTCATTATCTAAACTGTAATTGGGGGATTGACCTGTGGAATAGGACAGTATACAGCGTAACAGGTCTTGGGTCCAAATACCATCTCACTGACTTTTTAAATGAAGTTCTTTTTGTTGCGATTTTGCTCACAGTAATAAGTATTTGGTTATTCTTGTTAACAATAGGGTATACTCAATAGGATAAAAGATAAATTTAAACAGTGTCCGTTTAAATATCAGGAAAAAACTTTTTGACAGAAGATGGTTCCGTTAGGACAGGGGACAGCTGCCCACCTGAACTTTGGCCTGTCCTTCTCAGAAGGACACAACATTTGCTCAGTTAATGCCTCTCAACTGTCTTCTCTGGGAGATAAATATAATGTAATCGCAAAGTTTGAGGTAATTTTAGAAAATAAGCGAATTAAGCTTTAAAAGTAAAAGAAAACCTAAACAGTTGAAACCTAAACCTAAATTTTCTGCCTACTGGCCCAAGCATTCATGTTATTTTAGGTGCGAAACAGCTCAAGTGAAAGTTCGCCCATAAATCTCTACGATATTTTATTGGTACTGCTTTATAATAGAGATCAAAGATTGGGATTGGAAGCCTGTCTTAATGTAGAGTCCAAAGAGTTTTAAGATGTTTCTTTCTGACACCAGCAGGTTGTCAGATTGTTGATGTTTTGTTAATGTCAAACTGTGTAGCAAAGAGTTGATCAAATTCTGAATTCATGGAAGTGTTGATATGGAAAAGAAAACTCTTTAAACAGAGATGTTGGCTGGCAAGTGAATTAATCTATTTCCTTTAAGTTATTTCAGTGTGTAAGTGGGGAACTAGCTGAGAGTACCTTGTTGTTAAAACCTCGAAGTCCTCAGAGAAAAGGGGTAAAAGTCACCAATTCTTAGACTGCAGATATGGGCTGCGATGGCCAATGGGTTATCGCACTGAGGCCTGAGGGAATGTGGTGGGGAGCCGGCAAAGGCCTGGGCTGAAAGGGGCAGAAGAGGCCCTGTAGCCCCTCCAGGTGGTGGAGAAGCCCCTATGACTTGGCTTGTGGGCATCTGGCTCCCACGTCACTGCTAGTCCTTCCTGCTCCTCCTTGCCTGAATGATTGATTCTTCCCTTCTGTGGCCCTTTGTGTTGGTCACAGGGCTGTCCTGGCTAACCTGCTGCTGAACTTGGCCAGCCTGCCCGCTGTGGCTTTAGCAGATGTTTCTGCTCTCTGAGACTAATAAGATTTTATAGTCTTGTTGGTACCCCCACCCAGCTGCCTTGGGCAGTGGTGTATTTACCCAAATGATCAATTTCTCTCTACTCTCTCAAGACCTGGTCCAGAATACTTAGAAAGTCAGTGTCCTATCATCACTGTCCCTTTTCTCCACGGCCAGCTCTTAAGCTCTGCCCTGACTCAATTTTGGCCCTGGCCCCAAAGCATGCTTAAGAGGGCTTAGCATCCTTCAAGCCCCGTTTCCTTTTCTGCTGCCTGAAGTCCTTATCAGTCTTCATCCACTTGGTATTTGTTGAGTACCAGCTGTGTGTCATGTTCCAGGGATGTAAAGATGAGACAGATTCTGGTCTTGCCCTGGGGAAGCAGAGGAGGTAGACAGGTAGCAAACACTTGCAATGCATCAGGCTACCTTCAGGTACAGAAGTGCCCCAAAGGTGAGGAGAGAAAGGTGAGTTAGAGAAGAAAGAGAGGTTGTATCTGCCTGGGCCGGTGGTGGGAGAGGAGCTTCTGCAAGGGCCAAGAAGACTTCACAAAGCAATTGTGTTTTGAATAGTGTTTCACATTTTGAGTAGAAAATTTCTAGATAAAAAGTGGGCAGAGAGGGCATTCCAGGCAGAGGCTAGAAAAAGCATAGAATGTTCAAGGAGCAGAATGCAGTTTGAAATTGTTGGGATGTGCGTTGTAGAGAGAGCCATGGATGAGGTTACAAAGAGAGGCCTGGAGTGGTAGGCGAAGGAGCTCGGATTCTGAGGGCAAGTAGGGAAGCGATACGATCTCCTTCGACCAAAATAGAAAATCACCTTAGCAACTGTGTGGTTGAAGGATAGCAAGGCCAGAGACAGGAAAATTGTCATCAGTACCAGGGCCCTTCCCCCCAGTCACATCCTCTTGAGACTCTGAGTAACTACCCCAACACAGAGATCTTTGCTCACAAAATCTTATGAGAGTTTACCGATGTGGTGATGTCCAACTGGACCCCAGGAGAACTAGAACAATAGATGTCTTTAGCCTAGTGCCAAATGGACATTCTGAACAA